TGGCCTATCCAAACACTTCCATTATCTCTTGTAGTTTCTTTCTTTTATTTAGAAAATATATTTATTAGTAGTAGTAGATGTAAAGTAGGAAACAAAAAGGAGACATATGATCTAATTTAAATAAACCCTGCTAGTGTGTTTATTGATTAGAACATGACTTTTCTAGTTTCTAATGCAGTCAAGAGATTAAATTCTATGAGTTTACCTAGGGTTATTTCTTGATTAGGGAAGTAGTTAACTTGCGTATCCTAACTATCGAGATGGTAAGAAAAAGTTGGTTGTCATCGCTTGCTTGATAACTATAACCTATTTATTAATGAATAGATAAAATAATTCTTGTATCGATGATAAGTTGTATGAATACTTCTGAAGTTATTTCCTTGGTTAGAGCTTGTTTATCCTTGATTTGAATTTACTTTGTTTAATTTAATTATTTTTATTTGCGTTGATTATTTATTTTAACTTCAATTTTCCAAACTCCCCCCAATTAATTTTCATTTAAGAAAAAGCAAATTTTCTCTCTAATCCCTGTGGAGACGACGACCCTACTTATATTATACTTGAATAAATATTTTTGTGAGTAGAAATTTATTATTGTACAAACCCGACACCTGTCAGGATTTATTCATATATATGTCTCACATACTTACTTAAGTTCTGAAAGTACCTTCTGATACGAGAATCGAATATATTTTAGATAAGGACCCCCAACTACACATCACTTCACATTTTCGAGTTGTTTTGTATACTCTTAATTGAAGTACCATTTGACATGAAAGTTGACATTTTTAGATAAAAACTCCCAGTTGCTGAATATAAGTACCGTTAGAGTAGAATAACTCTTATTTGCTTTTCTTTTTTTTTTCTTTTCTTTTTTCATAAAGGTAAACATATAAATAAACATTCCCTCTTGAACAAATTAATCTACTAATCATAGGAAGAGTATTGAAATTATTGACCATATTCACCACTTATCTTTGGAAAATCAAGTAAAGGAAAAAATGTCATTATACATGCAGAGTTTAGGCATAATTTTCTTCACTTTATAAGATAGACTTCCTTAAAAATGCAAAAATTCTAATCATATAATAGTCATTTCCAAATTAATTGAGGAATGAATTTTTTAAGGCACATATATTTATCTCAAAAAGTAAGAGAATTTGAAATACTAATGGTTTGAAGCTTATTGCCCTTGGATTAAATTGAAAACTTTTCAAAACTTTTGGGGCAATTTTGAAATATTGGATAAGTTTTTTGAGAAATTTTTGGCAGAGCCTCTCCTTATAAATGGACGAAACTCCCTACTAGTAAACTCAAATTTAATCAATTTCAAAGCACAATATCATTTCCAATATCAAGTCCAACGTCTTCAACCAAATACCAATCACATACAACACATACAAGCTCAAGTTTTTTCCTCCCCCACACTTAAAACACACATTGTCCTTAATGTGTAAAGGAGATAAATAAAATAAGAAAAGAATACTCTCCTATTAATGTGATTGAAATGCCATGGCGATAAAGTTTAGGATCCATTGTTTGCAACTCCACTAACACTTGCAGTTGTAAACTTCGTGAAGTTTTCATTAATAACCATTGATAAAGAAAAAACATAAAAAGAAAGAAAATGAAGAAAATAAACTATGAGGGTTCAAAGGCATCAAAAAGAACTATAAAATGGTGATCAAAAAGCAAATGCATTTCAATTTCACAAGTAAAGGTTGCAAAGGCATCAAAAAGCAAAAATGGCGATCCGTTGTTCCACGCCTTTCTACCGACATCCTATATATATATAAAAAGGAGTTGTTGTATGACTGTTGGGTGATTTTCATCTAACATTTGTAGGGGCGTTTTGGTAATGGTAAAAATATAACAGTATTGATGAAGCAAAATGCACAAGTTTCTGTTACCTAATTTCGCATGGTTTACCTACTGTACCCTTTAGTGGCTAATGGTTTGGATACTTTGCCATTGATTTAGCAAAGTGGGTAGAAAAGCGAAATTAATTCCCCTCAAGTATGTTTAGCTGAATTGATTATGCAAATTAAATGCATTTAAGATAATATTGGTGCATAAGGCTAAAAATGAATGCTTGAATTGTAACTGTAGAAAGTTTCGTCTTCTTCATCATTAAAGCTCCAGAACCATTAATTCAACTCTTGCAACAAATGGCACTTATTTGAATTAGTAACTGTAGCACATTGATGAGGCCATTAAAGTGTGAGAGGTAAAGAATCATTTGGAATAAATGTTACAAAAGTAATGCAGGACCTCCCATTTTCTTCAACATTTGCTCACCAATTTGTAACGTAGGTTACAATAATGGCTATTGTTAAGGTACAAAATTGTGGATTAAGAAGGTTTGCACAATACCAAAGTTGGGTTTGTAGAGGTATACTCAATTTTGCTCTTGTTTTCTGGTATATGAGTTGCATAGCTTCCATTCTACAAAATCCTGAATAAGCCTTTGTGCTTTCTATTGCAAGCGGGCAAAGTGTGGAGAGATTTTGCTCTTAGATTGCACTTTACTACCGAAAGTACAAGGTAACTCTATATTCCCACTTGATGATGTCATTTATTGATTAAATATTATTACAATTATACTTGATCCATTTGAATCATGTGCTTAAATGAACAAGTGTGTGAATGATTGTTCCACTTTGAAAATTATCTTGTAGTTGATGCAATTTATTGGTTCAATAGTTAAGTGATTGAGTTGTTGTGTGTGGATAGAAATTGCCATTTGAATAGATAAACGGCTATATTTACATGTTTTTTTATTTTTGTATTGAATTTCGTAGACCTGATAATTGTTTGATATAAGTTAGTGTTTGTAATAAGGAAAATTAATTTGCTCTCTAATTATTTGTAGATGCATGTATTGATCGAAATAATGGTTCTTAGTTGTAATAGTCAAGCAAACAAATGCTATATATAAATTTTCTATGTTTAAGTTTAGGGCTTGTGGGTCGAAATTTAGGATGGATCAAACAAACAATATTGAAAAACTTAATGCTAAAAAGCAATTTGGGAATCAAAAGGCAAGAAAAAGAGATGTATTGTTATCAGTAGAAGAAAAAGATAAAGTACGATTGGAACAACAGAAAATAAGCGTAAAGCACTAAAAATTCATGTTCATTTTGTTAAAACTATAAAACAAAACAATGGTGAGTGTTCCTGATTGAACAACCTAATTTTGTTTGAAAGATTAAACTTAGGGGAAAATGATACATATGATAACACCATGAGTTTCCATTTGTTTTAGACATGGAAAAGGAAAGTAGGGAACCGTGCCGTTATTGCTTAAGAAAAGAATCTAGCCAAGCACCAGAAAAATGTAATGCTAATTATGACAAAAGAAAGCTTAAGGAACATATAAGTGTGTTCCACTTGATATCAAGTTATCAAATACTGTTAAGTTATTTGACCACATCACAGGTATCAATCCCCACGGTTCGCGTGGGACTTCCCTCTAGTAAAATAGACAAGAAGCAATATGAGGTAAATTTCACACAACGATTCCCTACAATTATGTATTTACAATTTTCACCAAAATACTTAGAATATCAATTATAAAATATATGACCTTGTTTAGGTGTTTACAAGATCACCATGTCACCGATGAAACCAAATTAGGATCAAAATTAAATCAAAGATCATACACTATGCACATGTTCAATTTCATTCTCCTAAAATGCCACTACAATTGCAAAAATTTTCAAATATCCAAAATCATCATCTAATCATGTTCCATATGAAGAATAAGCAATAATGAACACATAATAACACCTAAACGTCAATTCAAATGCATTATTTCACAAACTAGTTAACTAGCTATTTTCCTAACTTCAAAATTTAAACTTTCCAAAATGTCATCATATAATAAATGTATACATAAGAGCATCACGAACAAGTCACATTTTGCCTATACAAATCATCCAATTATACTTAACAACATTGCAAAGCTAATTTTCACACTAATCATAATATAGGAATTTGAAAATTTTAAGTAAAATATAAAAAGCATCACATTCCTATATTTCAACATCTAAACATGCTTAGACATGTTAAATAAGCATAATAGAGGCAAAAAATATCAACAAATATAGCCAAAATTTGTGCATTAAAATTTTCTCAGAAAGCTCAAGATATGGAAAAATGGAAAATTTCAAAATACAAAGATTTGGTGAAGATTATTAACTCAATCGTGTAGAAGGGTGTTTGATGAAGTGAATGATCCAAAAAAGCTCCAATAATTTAACTCAAAATGGCCCCTAATTGAACGAATTGAAATTGAGAAACCTTAAATTTAAAACTCCTTCAATCCAAACTTCGAAGTGTTTATGAATAGTTTTGTTCAGCTAAAGTGACTCTATGAAAGTTGTGGGATGTTGGGTTGATGATTTTTAGCAATGAAAATGCTGAAAAATAAGATTTGGTGAGAAGTGTCATTACAACAAAAATGGCTTTTAACGACATTTAAAAGTGTCAGTATAGATAATTTAACCTGACACTTTATCTATCCTCACACCTAGGGCGAGTGTTGTCCCTTCCAATGTGGGGATAGACTCATACTATTCAACATGTCAAGAAAACTATGCTGTTATAACATTCCATCTGCCAACAAAAATCCCTTTTCTTGATAATTGAAAGTGTCAGGATAGGTATAATACAATATTAAAATATAGAATTCTATGCTGACACTTTTAATTGTCAGGAGTTTTTTTTTTTTTTTTTGAGATAGAAGCAACCTGCAGGTAGTGCTCCCTGCTATACATTCCGTCAATCAGAAACCCAAAGGACTTTTAAAATTATCCCAAAGAACAGAATGCATATAAGATAATATGCTATGATGCAAAAATCTAGAAACATCAAACTTGAGCAGTACCGTAATTATGAGAACTGAAAATGCCAACTCCCATAAGCAAGAGGAGATTTGTCATCATGTTTTATACATCAAAAGCAGAATGCAAATGAGACTAAATGATATACAAGCCAACACACAGTGGAAAATCTCAGAATAAATGCCAGCGCACTTTGTTTATAGCAATAACAATTCGCACTCCAGCTGCTTTGGCATAAGCAATGGCCTCTTCTGTTTGAGGTCGAATTCCATCATCAGTAGCAACTACAATAACAGCAATGTCTGTTACTCTGGCTCCACGAGCTCTCATTGCTCCAAATGCCTATCCAACCATTTTTACAGTTATGTTAGATAATTCATCTTGACAAAGGCCTTTTAAGATATGTCTGTAAAATCTCCAAGAAGAGCATTTGACATAAAAATTTTAAAAAAAGAAAAAAAACTTGCATGAATAAGCAGTTAAAAGTTAGAACCAGTGCTACATCATTAATTACCTCATGTCCAGGGGTGTCAAGGAAAACACAAGTCTGTGGCTTGCCATCAAAAGGTACTTGTATCTTGTGTGCCCCCATGCCTTGAGTAATTCCACCTGCTTCAGATGCTGCCACCTACAGTAGGTTGTCTAAGATTTAGTTCCCAGCTATTCAAGTATCATAACATAAGACAGAATAAGGTACTTCTTCTAAAGTCATCAAATGATAATGGCATTACAAATAATGTACCTCAACGTGAACATCAATAAAAATAATCGATTCATACCTTGCTTTTCCTGATGTAATCCAAAAGTGTGGTCTGCCAACCCAAAAGAAAACCAGTAATATATTAGCTAAAGATTGTTATGGGACAATAAATCTAGAATGACTCTCCTAAAGATCAATTAATTGGAAGCACACAAAATGTTCATAGGCAACAATCAAATAACAAAGAAAGGTAAAATTATTTCATGCGATGAGATCATAATGACTTCAAAAAAGGTCCATTAACTGGCGATTCTAGTTGACGATTTGCAATAAATCATTATTCATGTTCTTTAAGGTACAAATATCACTTTCCGTTCCTTGAAATTAATGGCATTGTAGCTGTGGATGATAACCGTGTGGGGCCACTTTACAAGCATATTTTTCCTCCAGCTTTAGCGCCATGGCTTTCATTCGTTGGGTTGCTGTGGAAGGTCTTTTGCAAATATTCCATGTTCTCAGTTTATGAACTGTTCTGGTTGATAATGCATTTAATTGATAAAAGCGATTTTTTTCCCTTTGACTGCTAGGTTGTACCTTTCCCCTTGTTTGAATTTCAGAGCAAGTGGATAGCTGGTACTCTGTGTGGTCGGCTTTCACTTCCTTCTCCCAAGGAGATGATGGCTGATATTCAAGCTTTCTACTCATCAATGGAAGCATCTGGCACTCCAAAGCGGTATACTCATAACATGGCTGGTTATCAGGTAGAAAATGCTCACCTCCTGCTGATTTGATTTCGCTGCAGCTCTTCATTGTCATCTTTCACCAGTGTGACCCTCTTTGCACTTGCTTTTCCATGGACCTAGGCTAGAGTTTTTAATTTCTGCCCAACTCAACTAATGCGTTGTTTTTAATTTCTGCCCAACTCAACTAATGCGTTGTTTTATATCGCCAGTTCGAATATGACGATTGGTTGGCTGCTCAGTGTGGTTGTCTGCCGACTGAAGAATGGAGAAAGTAGATGTATGTTGAAACTTCCATGAGAAAGAGGTCTCAGCCTGAGACATACAGAGACCAGTGGGAAGATGAACACTTGGTCAGACAGGCACAAGCTGATTTTTCACAGTACTTTTCAAAAGTTCCCAGTAGCTAGATATCAAAATTCCTTCTAATTGGTTGATTTGTTGATGGGGTTTGTTTATTGTTTAATCCTTGATTTTCTCAAAATCATATAGACTGGTGAACAGTGGCAACGCAGTGTCACGAGTCTGTAATTCTCATGAACGTAACGCTTGAAACCCAATAAGCTGAATAAGAGGACTAGATGTTACATTTTTGTCCAGCTAATGAGAATAATACCTTGAACTTTATTTATATTTTCATCTTAAACTCATTAGCTAAATGGGATATATTGTAAAGAACAGTATCAGTTAAAAGACTACAAAAAGATTAGCATCAGTTAAAGGAAGAAAAAGCCATCTACCACAGCTTGTTCTTGCACCACAGAACAAGATATTGTCCACAGAATGCTGCTTTTTGTAGCTAGGCTTAAACCGGTACTGTACAAAAAGGTGTGCACCAGCCATAAGTAATCGTCAACTACATGATCACTGACCCATAAGTAATCTACCAAAATCACAATGCCGAACAAAATAAGAATGACTTAGCACAAAGCCCCATTATACAACTATTAGAACTCAAAGCATCATACACCATTTTTTATTTTCGCCACACAACAGAAACCTCAAACTATAAAACAGGAAAAAAAATCAAATTTAATTCATAAATCAGCTCTTTAAAAAATCCAAATAGCAATTTTTAACTGACACCCAACTAGATTTTCAACAAAGATTATCGAGGCATTTCATCAAACATGTCGAAGGCTATTACTAATTCTACACAAACAACTCCATTTCCTCTTTCCCTGTCCTCTCTTAGCTTATAAACCTCTGAAGCGCTATAATTTATAAACCATCACATGCCTATAATAGCACAAACTTGGTCAAAATTTTGAGCCAAAAATAACTATAAAACAACGTTCCGCGTACAATTTCAACAAATAGGGGGAAAAACACACACACACACAAAGATGCACTGCATATCTGTGCAACTACAGGAATGCAAAAACCACGAATTTGAAGTAGTAAGTGGGCTTTTGGCTTACCTGGACACCTTCGGAAGCGGTAGAGACGGGGGAAGAGGTGAAATCGGAGTCAAGGGTAAGAAAAAGGAAAATGGCGAGACCGAAAAACGAGATTGCCATTAGTAAAAGTAAGCCAATGAACCAGGAAGTTTGCCTAAAGGGCAAATTGAGATTGGACTTGGAAGACAATTCTCGATAAACTATTTGAGTCGGGGGAGAAATTTGTTGAGCTGAATTTGAAGAAGAAGATGATGATGACCTGGAAGTGGATTTCCTTCGAGAGAGATTTTGTTGCTGATGCTGCTGTTAGCTGCCTGAGGGAGCCACGGTTGAAGCTTTATGGAAACTGCTGCTTGGCTGCTACCCATTTTTTCCACCAACTACATCGGAATCTGACAACAGAGAGATAGAGAGACAGAGAGAGGGGGGCTGGAAATGGTGGAGCTGGAAAATGAAAATTTTGAGCAAGTGTTTTGAGTAAGTGTTTTGGCCGGCAGAATGAAAATTTTGAGTGTTTTAGAGTGAATGAATGTTCCGCCAAAATCAAACGATGCCGTTTAGTGTCTTTCTTTTTTTTTGGTATATCTCACATTTTCTCAAGTGTCATGTTAGATAGTCTAAAGGCACATTATTATTTTTATATCTAACAAAAAAAAATTAGACTATATATTATTGAATTGCTAATAAGTGTCATGATAGGAGTGCTATAATGACACAAAACCAACAAGTGTCCTTACAGGCAAGGGCGGAGGGAAGGGGGGGCTAGGGGGGGAAACTGCCCCCCCTCCAATTGTTAAAAAAAAATTTTTAAGTAAAAATTTGTTTATTATATTGTTTTGCCCCCCCCAAATATTGATAAAAATTTTCACTTTGCCCCCCTCCAATTGTTATAAAAAAATTTCTAAGTAAAAAAATTTTTATTATATTGTTCCCCTCCCCCTCCAAAATATTGATAAAAATTTTCACTTTGTCCCCCTCTCAAGGACCCAAACAATAATGTTTGAAAGTTATTTGGACTTGGTCCAAATAACAGAGACTCGCCCCCCCTAATTGCAATTCCTAGCTCCGCCACTGCTTACAGGCATGTCAGGAAAAGCCATTTTTGTTGTAGTGTGTGTGAATTGTGGGTATTTTCTCGAGTGGGAAAAGGTGAAGAAGAAGGATGAATGTGTGACCCTCGTTTTGCTTCTTTAAACCATATGACTAGAAAACAAGGGGTAAAACACGGGTGATGACCCACATTTGCCACCCTCATATTCATTTAGATGATTCGGGTTACAAGCATAAAACGTGAGTTAATACGTAGGTGAGATTGCGATTGGTCCTGCTTTTTTACCTAGATAACATGGAATTTAACTAAAACTGGGGCTAAAATGTAGGTAGAGGCCGCGTTTTGACTTTGACCCTCTTGAGATTTCTTTGATAAGTTTGGGATTGCAAGAGGCAGATTGTGAAGAAGTGGAAGAATTGGCCAAGTATTTGGATTTTTAACCACCCTATAAAAGAGCCAATGTTTATGAGTCTTGGATAAAGAAAAGGGCTTCCACTTCTTTTGGAGATAGAAGCTCCAAAGTTAGAACTCAAACCATTTCCGAGACATTTAAGGTATGAATTTCTTGGAGCTAATGAAACTTTACCTGTGATTGTTAGTACTTATTTAGATGAGGAGCAATGTAAGAAGCTATTAAGATTCTTAAGGAAGCACAAAAGAGCAATTGGATAGACCATTTTGGATATTCAACGCATTAGTCCTTCTATATGCATGCATGGCATCTTTTTGGAGGATAATTACAAGTCGGTAGTTGAATTGGAAAGAAGGCTTAATTATAATATGAAAGAGGTGGTAAGAAATGAAATTTTCTAGTAGCTCGATAGAGTTATAATTGATAAGTGTTTATTTTGTATGATATTTAGAGTGTTCATTTATTTAAGTTTTTGAATGTTTTTAAGGTTTTATAGATGAAATTTGCTCTTTTAAGCTGCTATTTTCATAAACTCCAATTTTTAACCAAAACTTGCGGTTGAGCAATTTAATGTGCAAAACTTATTACATTTGTAGGTTTTGGTGATCATTAATCAATTCAGATGGAAGAAGATTCAAGTGACATATATGATGAGATTCGAAGATTAATTGGAAAGGATTAAATGAACAAAAGCAATTTTTGAGCAGAAAACATGATCTAAATACATTGGGGAACCCACGTTTTACCTCCTCATTTTAGCTGGGGCAGAAAAAGACAAATAAAATGTATGGGAGGCAATAAGTGGGTACTATAGGCTACCTCACACTTGCGTATTGACCCCACATATTCTTAAGGCGGCTGTGCAACTTGCACAACCACTTACTTTGATTTTCTACAACTTTTTACAACTCAATTCTAGTAAGAATTTCAGCTGCAGTAGTAAAGAAGAGCATGGAGATTTGTAGAAGAATATTTTCAGAATCTCAAGGAGGATTTCACATCAACTTTAACAACTCATTTGGAGCTTGAATTCATTTATAAATTGGGGGTTTGAAGACATATTTTCACAATTTTGGAAGGCTAGGAACTACCACAAAAATGTAGCTTTCACCAGTTCTCCTTAGTTCATTAGTTTAGTGTAGGTTAGTGTAGTTTATCCATCTTGTGTTGTAGCTAAACAAAGATGAAGTTGAGGATGAAGATGGAGAACTTGGAACTCAAGTGACATGAATGGCATCTTTTCCATCACTTTATTATTTGTATTGATTCTCATGCTTAGTGAATATACAAGTGTGGTTCTTGTGTGTGTTTCACTCATGTTTTGTTAGTTTGATACCTAGGGGTGTGGATGAACTTACTATGATTGCTATGTGATTTTTCATGATTATTTGAGTTATTTCTTGAGTAAGTTATTTAGCACTTTTGTTATTTCAATCATGATTAACTAATCGTTGATTATCATTATCTAAAGGTATTGTATCATCAATGAAAATCCTGATTTAACACTAGTTCGTAAAGTGTTGAACCTAGGGAGCATTCTCACGAAAGTAGAGAATTACCTATGTGGCTTTAACCTTGTGATTTCATAGAATTTAATGAATTTATAACTAGTTTCTTTATCACAAAACGTAGGTGAGGAACAGTTATAGGTATGATTGGTACACTGGTGAAAGTGGGTATCACGAACATTAGGAAATTAGGCATGACTTAACCAAAATAATGAACTCAATTAACTGGTAATTTTCACTTGCAAGAGTAGTTAGGAATTCTATGATCCTAGGAGTCTCTTTCTTTTCATTTTTACTACTTTTGTTGCATGTTAGTAGTGTAGATTTACTTGTTTTACTTATGATAGTCAAAATAATAAAGAAATTTGATTACCACCACTAGTTGACAATCTTCCCGATGGGATCGATATCTAATATCCCTTATATTCAATAAACGATCCGTATAATTGCAAAAAATGGAGTGTTTAGGTTTTCAAAATTGGTGTGAAGTAAAAGCCTAGTTAAGATTTGGTGCCATTGCCGAGGAAGATTTGGTTCAATATCGGTGCTAAAAATGACTTTATTGGTTAAAATATTTTTACTTGCTTTTCTTGTGTTTGTGTGTATAGTGTATTATTTGTCATTTTTAGTGTCTTGTCAAGTCTTCAAAT